TACTAGTAATTTTATATTTTGTTCATGATACAAGAAATACAAACAGAATAGGTAAATAACTTACAGTGAACTCACAAATGGTAATTTAAAATTAAAAACAAAAACAACGCAACCAGATGTAAATCTCTGAAGAGAAAATATATCAGCTGTGTTTACATATAACGTATAGGCACTGAGTCTGATTTCCTAGTTCACATGAGGTTTTTCCGTATTTTTGTTCATCATATGCTTTATCATCAGCTGTCGGTATTTGTTTATATGGTATGCAGTTATTTTAAAACTATTTTCCGTTAAATGCACTTCAAAACATACAAAACATGATCAGTTTATTATTTTCCTTATCCACAAAGCATTTCAGAGAACATGGTTTTCATATAGTCACTCAGAAATGCATTGCCACATATTTCCTGTTGTTGCAATCTTTTTTCCTGTTAAAAATAACATCGAGGAAAGAGACAAATAAAATCATTGATATAAAGCAAAAAAAGCTAGCGTTCAATTACTGCAGTATACCCTTTATATTTCATTAACAATCAGATATATGTGTGCCTTTTCAAGACAACTGGAAGAAAGTATCCATAGTGAATTAATACACATTTTAAACACTTACAAAGAGTTGGATTTGATTTAAAAGGATATAAAGTACTCAGTTGATCTAATATTATAGCAGATCACCTAATCATATTTTTTTTTCGCTGCATTTCATTTCCGGAAATATGCATAGCATTTCCGACATTTTTTTTATTTCATTTTCGACTTTTTTTGTTTTCATTTCCGACATATTTTTTTTTTTCATTTCCGGAATTTACCTGTGCGGCGATTCAATGTTTTCTAAGTAAACGAAAATGGAATTCTAAAAGTATTAGTGCCAAAATATTTTTTAAAAAAATCTATACAAATATGCATACATGTAGCACTAAGTCTAGGTAAAAGAGTTTTATGAGCATAAAACTTTTTCACCATATGTAATGTGCACTAAATTAAATGTCAGTGACAGCACCATACTTATGTCCAAGTCACTAATAGATTTACAACATTGGATTTCAATGATTTACTTATGATTTACTGCTTTAAAATTTTCATATGTTAAGTTATCAGATTTGTTACTATAGGTACTGCATATGTATTTGAAAAAATGTCAGAAATGAAAAAAAATATCGGAAATGAAAACTAAAAAAATGTCGGAAATGAAAAGTTGATAATTATCAAAAATTCCGGAAATGAAATGCAGCCATTTTTTTGTAATCGCTAACAAACAATGGCTTTGGTTAAAATAACGTTAAATTGACATTTGAAAGGCACTTCATATTTATATTTGTACAAAAACACCTTTGTCTTTTTGCTTAAGAACACATTTGATTACATACGATTATTAGATACGGTTAAACATTTGTATACATATGTAATATAGAAAGGAGGAATGAGTAAACAAACATTGAAAATTCATAAATACATCTATCATGAAAATATATGGATGGTGGGACCTGGAATTGAGCCCGGGACCCCTGTATTACTAGTCAGGTGCCCCAACTACTGAGATATCCAGGCCGATGTCCTCAGTCCAGCCGAAATTCTTAAAACATTAGTAACTTGTGTGTATAAACTATAGGAATAAAATATAGAAAAAGTTTGAATTTTAAATGAAGTTCATTTGATGATGATGATAAGTCCTTATTTCCAGGGTTTTGTCCTCTTTCAGGTTCTGAAAATAACGGCAAGCAATTCAACAAACTACTTATTATATACATAAATAATATTTATATCTCTTTTTTTTCTTTATTAATTGTTTATTTAATTAGTTAACACCACTTAACAGCCACCTGTTTATAAATTTCTTAAGCAGCAACTGTTTCATCAATGAAAAATTTCAATGAAATTCATTTCAATAGCATAATATTTAACAAGCTTTATCCTAAATTTTATGATAATTCATATAAATATATAATAAAATGGCTTTCTTTGCTTGTTAGTGCAGAAATAAACAATGCAACTACGTTGTATGTCAGAAAAATATACATTACTCGGTGTGGCGGGTTATATGTTTTATTGCAACGGCTGCAACAGAGTTGTTCTCGTGCTAAAAATCAAAGAAGAAATTGACTGTTGCTGAAGATTTCAATTTGTTTTCATAACAAGCTCTTTAAAAATTGTTTTGTATGAATAAAAGTATTAGTGAGAACTTTGTACAGAAGCTTAGTATTTTTTATTAAAAATGCAGATCCAGAAAAAATAAAACATATTTTGAAAGAATTCCTATAAAAATTTATTTTCCATTATTACCCCAAACTAAGGGTCGTCTAATGAACATGGAGATGACGAACTGTTAAGAATTAAGACGCAAGGTCCATTGATAGTACGATACAAATCAGGAGCAAAGCAAACACGGAGCTCTAAAATCATTTGAGGTAGGATAAGGTGTAATCAAGGAATTAAGCACCCCCTGTAAACCGTTCGTCCCGTGTGTTCCTTGCCATGTATAATCGGTAACACTGGAATATCAGTAGACTATTTAGTGTAAATAATGATCTAACTATGTCAGTCATCATTCGACTTACTGATAGATTGTATTTATTGACTCTTGGTAATTGTACCGGCTAGAAAACTTGCGAAGCAATGATTAAAGGAGACTGTTGATAAATTTGTTGGACTTTGAGATTGAATACTGTTCGTTATCTCCATATCCTTCTTTCATTAGATTGTTTGTCAATAGCTTGTGTCCCTTTAGGAACCGTTCTTTCGAAGAGAATGCTCTTGCATTGAGAATCAACAGGAGACAAGCCGATAAAGTCAAATAATTAAATACTCAGTAAGGGAAGCTGACGCTAGAAGAGTCATTGCGTTTATCATAAGTTTTTGTGTTAGTTTCAAGTCTTTAAAATTTCTAGTAAAAAAAGTCGTGTCAGATTTTTTGATATCTTATATTTTTAGTTTACTGAGATATATCGATGAAATATCGACATATGAATGGAATTTACTATTGTTGATTGATAATACGTCGTCGATATATCTAAATATCAAGCTGAAGATCAGAGCTTTCTGCCTTCCTCTCAGGTATGTTTTGGGAAAACCTAAATATTTATAGCCAATCAGAAACTCAGAAAAGCATTTTTGAAATATTTTCTACCAACATGGTCTCACTCAGAATGTTTTGAACAAATAAAATACACCTGTATATGGAGATAATGAACAGTATGTTTATACGCTCAAAAGTTCATAAACAGTACACATTTTGGAGCAGAGCAAACAAGGACCTCTAAAACATAAGAGGAAGGATCAGGGGCAATGGAGGAGTGAGCATTCCCTGCCGACCGGCCACATCCGAATAAATTTTCATACGACAAGGTTAGTAAATTGATGAGTTCCATTTTTAGTGAAAAGCATCTGTTTTTGATGTCAGAAAGCCCGGCCTTTAATTTATCGATTGTTTAAAGTGTAGAAAATTCGTACAATTTGATGTTATTAATAATGGAAAATGTGATTTTGAATTTTCCAAAAGTTCCTTGGATATTTAATATCCACTTCTTTTGAAAATATATTGTTGTACAATACTGCTGAAGTTTCTTATTCACTGCCGCAAATATTTCAATGAAAGTAAAGAAAGAATAATATAATATTAAATATAATATTTACTGGAACCCGCTATATAAATTTTGAAATGATGTTTATATTGTTAATGATTCCATTAAAGAATGGTAATTCAAATTCAATTTGATTGTTAAGAATATTTAAAATATTCATAAGTCAAAACTGACATCCATTGATTGGGAGCCTTGGGTATAAGGTCTGTTATTACTTGCAGAATGAATTCTCAGCTTCTTCAAAATACAATTAAAACATGCTTTGACAGTTGGACCCGTACACACTGATCGAGTAATGAAATTCTTTTCCCATTTCTATATTATTGAAAACAAAAGTATAGATGGTACAAATGGATATAGAATAGATTCGTCATTTTAATTGCATGTATCTTATACATAAAAACTCTTAGAAAGTTTTAGCGCGCGTAATATAAACATACAGGTAAGCTTAGTATAGCATTATCAAGCATGGCATTAAGATTGACACCAGAGGAGAAAAGGAGGAAAGGCCGTCAAAAAACATGGAAGTGAACCGTACAAAAAGAACTTACTGAAGGGAAATGAATATAATCTTGGGAGAGGTGTAGGGGACAGCCAAGAACAGAGAGGAATAGAAATCCCTAGTCCTTGCCCTGTGTGCCTCCAGGTGCAACAAGGACTAGGTGTTAAGTAGATGGTAGGTGGGTAAGCTTTTCAGGTTAAAATACCTGGTGATTGTACAGTTCCAGCTGTTGGTGATACCATGCCTGTTGTTTGTACAGTTGCAGCTGTTGACGATACCTGGACGTTAGTGACAGGGAAAGAAAGACAGGATTTGCCATGGAATGTCGACACAGTAACATCAGGGATACCGGGGCCTAGCTCCTGTAGCAGGGATTTTTCCATTGGACCAGTGGCATTTATCTGGCACTCTGTTTGGGTATTTTTGCTCACAAGCACACAGTCATAGTAGGTAACTGTTCCTTGCACTTCTGGGGATATTAAATCTATAAGTAATCAGTAATCCGTAACAATTGCATATTGTATTATTTTCTCAAAGCAATTCTCAGTTTTCGCTTTTTTCGTCTTAACCTCATTTGGGCGAATTTGAAACGGGGCGAATTCAAAAAATAAGGTGTACTTTCTTTTTTAAAAAAAAAATCTATGACACTGTGAATTTAAAATGGGGGAAAATTGTTTGCAAGTGTGAAAGGGCAAAATAAGACGAGGCTAAAATAACACTGTATTAATTGTCATTTTAATATATCGGTCAATATATAGATATACATATCTTTAAAAATATCATTGAACTCTCATATATTTGAAAACAATGTGCAGTTATAGCCTAGTAAGACTTTATATTTTAATTCCAGGTTTTGTATTGAATCAATTAAATATCAAACCCACACAACCCCAAAAGTAAAAGAACAAACAAAAGATACATTGATATATAACTGATCATATTTTATGCATACTTATATTTATTTTGACTGTTAAATTCCCCGTCAAAAATCCACACATTTGTACTTTGTCTTCTGCAGACTCGTTACGACAAGACGTTCTCTGCTCTGGAATGTGTTCCGCTTTACATTTGGGATTTGATGGCAACTTTACAAGTGAAGCATACAAGCTGTTTGACTCCATATGAAGGCATTTAGGACAGAGGGAAGCTGTAATGGAATTCAAGTTTCTCTTCTATAGCGTGATGCTTTGGCTTACACAAACTCTAGTTAATCAATGAAAGACCCAATAAACTAAATGAATTGCCTCGTTTTTCCTTTATCTTTATTTTTTATACTTCAAATTACAATGAGCGTACTTAAGACAGCGGGCTTCAAACTTTTGCGCCTTTAAAAATAAAAACATTAATATATACAAATACAAACCCAAACAGTTTATTATGTGTGCTAATTAAAGCCAACCACTCACAACCCTGTAATTGCACTAAATCGTAAATACATTATTTTTGTAAACGTTTAGTTACTTTTCAAGTCATATCTCAAATACGTACCCATACAGATCGGCACTATAAACACTATCCAAAGTACACACGTGTAGACAGTCCACTTCAGGGGCAATAGAGAACTTAAATGTATCATCTCCATTGTTTAGAGTTGTAGGGTTTATGATCGATTTAGTTACTCTCTGTTTCCCATTGTACAACACACTGATTCGACCAGGACTCGGGAACTTGTATCTAATAGTCTTGAGTGAGTCATCACGAACGGAAAGGGATTCTGCAAATATGGGTTGAGTACTTATAATCATAAAGCCATGAAGTAATAAAATTAACGGGAAATTGAGTAATGATATTATTTCTCTTTACGTTCAACAGATATGCTTCACCGATATCAAAAACACAGCAGAATGAATTATTTACATCAACATTATTGATGTTAGACTTTTAACATAGGCATCAGCAAAGCGGAGCATCCTTTCGAAAAGAGCATATCTATAGTAAATTGATATTAAGATCGTTTAATGGGGGGGGGCGGAATGGGTTTAAAAGATGTTTACACAAAACGAAAAATAAAGATTCATTGCAAAATGTTTGCCCCAAAACACGAAAGTTCAAAACAGTCGGTTGAAAAAATTCATCTGACTCAACTGAAATGTTTAAATATTTGTATGCAATCTAGAGTCAATTCGGCTTATGTATTTGCATCGGTGATCGTTTGTTACGGAGCAAAGTGATTTTACAGTTGAGTCTGTCGAGTTTTAAGCCGTTTTAGCATGTTTTCGAAAATAAATGTTCGATTTGTGTAAACGTCTTTTATACCTCCGCTGCTCAGACAAGTGATCGTCTTATCAATTCACAAAACGTAATATGCTCTTTTGAATCAAGAGTTTGCGTTCATTTAATCAAGAGCCTCAGAATAGATTTATCGAATGCTGTAATTATGAACACTCTCATTCAAATCAAAGCTTTTTTCTGCACAAATATTCACGTAGCATGTAGTAATTTTGAAAATTATATACCTCATTTTATATAACCTTGTTCGATGCCATAAGACATTCAAGAAAATTCTCTCAATACTGTTCAAGACGAAAAGTGGGGCCCGAAAAATAAATTGAGCACTTTAATCATTTATCCAAACTTATGAAAAATGTGAAAGTGAATTAGATTTTACATATATAAAATATATGGGAATAACGAACAGTATTTAAGCTCAAACGTCCATAAAGCAATACAAATTAGGAGAAGAGCTCACAAGGGTGGCCAAAACATCAGAAGTGGGATCAGGCGCCATGGAGGAGTGAGCATCCCCTGCCAACCGGTCAGATCCTCCGTGCTTCCCTATCATTTTTTGACTCAGTGATAAATGGTATTTGCTGACAAGGTCACTGTATCGACTATAGAACTTACGAATTGACTTTAAAGGAGACTTTTGGTATTATCTTTCATCAACTTGTTCTTCAATAATTTTCCTCACTTTAGAAATTGCACATATGTAGAGCATGTTCTTGCGTATCGAATCAACTGAGAGATATAAGGTGATGAAGGTATATTGCTTCTTAAGTAAGGGGAGTTGACGATTGAAAAGTTGAAGTCATCACGTTTATCATAGAGCTTGGTTGTTAGATTACCATTAACGTCTTTTGCAAGTAAAATATCAAAGTATGAAACAGAAGTGTCGAACTCTGTGGTATCTTTTATCTCAAGCTCTCAAGCTCACTGGGATATATAGTATTGACACAAGAATAGAAATCCGAACTGTCGAGTTGAAGATCACAGCAAGTGTTTTCTTCTTTTCACGTATAAGATTTTTTGGACACATTCTGCTTCATATAAATACAAACACAGATCTGCTTATAATGGTTCCCATGGAAATTACAAAAGATTGTTGTAAGACCTGCTCTCAAAAAACCACAATGATATTGTAACGGTTTTGACTGTATAAATATTGAAAATTTGTGATTTTAATTCATTCCGACCGGAAGACTCATTCATCATTATTGTATGTTTAAACTACATTTAAACTTGTTGTACATCATTGTTTTACCTTATTTATAAGTCATACTGTCATTTCACATTACTTTCGTTTTCCATTACTTCCGGTCGCGGGAAATTATGTACAGGTTTTACCTAGAATGTGTCGTAATTTCGCGGTATATAACGTCACGTTGGGTCATGCTATGTCACTTTGTGTTAAGGTTTAGTTTTAGAAATGAGTTGGGATTTTTAGATGATAGTGGACGGACGTAATTTTTTTTTCAGGAGTTATTTTGAATAGTCAGCCCAGGGATTAGTACGACCGATTCTAGAATACGCCTGTGCAACATAGGATCCCTGGAACTCCAAGCAAGTCCATCAGCTGGAGAAAGTGCAAAGACGAGCAGCACGATTTGCCACCAAAAACTACCATGATAACCACCCTGGGAGTGCTACCCAGATGATACAAGATCTACACTGGGAACCATTACAAACAAGAAGAATGAAGATAAGACTCGTTTTGTTATACAAGATTGAGAATGCTTTGGTGGCTATCCCTGCAGATATGTACCTGACACCCAGTGACAGAAGGACCAGAGGCAGCTACACATACCGTCTACCACACACTCTGATCGATGCACATCGATATTCCTTTTTTCCGAGGACAATTTCAGACTGGAACAACTTACCATCTGTAGTTGCCTCAGCACCAACATTA